TTTTCCAACGTTTATTTTTGGGACAGAGAGAGACAGAGCATGAACGGGGGAGGGGCAGAGAGAGAGGGAGACACACAATCGGAAACAGGCTCCAGGCTCTGAGCCATCAGCCCAGAGCCTGACGCGGGGCTCGAACTCACGGACCGTGAGATCGTGACCTGGCTGAAGTCGGACGCTTAACCGACTGCCCCACCCAGGCGCCCCAGCCCTGTATTTTCTTATAGAGGTCCATGTGGTTTGGGTGCTCTTCCTACTGGTCCCAAGGACGGTTGGGGTGCCTCTCTGTCTTCAGAATAACTGATACTCCTCTATCTTCCAGCAGTCTATAAAATTTCTTTATGACAAGTATTGTATATTCTCTGTTAACTGAATCCTAGCCTTGTTTCTCCTGACACCTGACACTGAATGCTTGGGGGATGTTTACGTGCATGCAATTAGGAATGACATATCCGACTGAATTCTAATTCTTATCCAGGCTTGTGAGTCTGGGCATCTCCTTTCAGTGTCCACGTTTCCACAAGGTGATCAAGAAGACACACTTACCGCGTCTGTGCGTGAAAGGATCTTGCAAACTCCAGCAATCTAATATATACACTGAAGAGACACCACAGAAAAACAAGTTATTTATCAGGTCGGGGGTTGGGGGAAATCTGACTAGTGTTTACTAACTTTTGTGGTTCCTTCCAGTTGGTTGGACTCCTCAGGCGTTGTAAGCGGTCAATTCACTACTCGCAACCAGCGGGAGCACCACAAGCTCCAGCCCTACCGCGTGGGCCGTGGCGTCTCTGGGACTTTCTGCTTCCGCAGGAAATGCTTTGCTTCCGGAAGTGACGAAAGTGGGTGGGCTAAATGGGTAGTACTGTCTCTTCCTCTCCACGCGGTGGAACTGACTGGTCGGCCTCAGTTGCTTGTGCTGAAAGATGCCGGGGAAACTCCTTAGTGACGTGGATTTGGACTCAGACACGGCCATGGAAAAACTGGAGACACCGCGAAAGCAGAATGCGAAGGTGCCATCGGGGGCTGAGGGTCCTAGGGTGCTGAGAGGAGTGGGGTACAGGATGGGCGGGGGTCCGGCTAAGGAGCCCGTGGCGCACACGCGGACCCGGCGCGTCCAGAGCCCGGCCGTGGGGCGCCGGGGAGCTGTGCCGGCGACGGGCGCAGGCGGACCGGAGCTGGGGTGAGCACCGCTCCCATGTGGTTCTGGAGTCTGGGCGCCCCGCACCTGGTGCGCAGTAAGATGTTCACGGTTGGGCCCCACGTTGCTGGCTCAGGCTCAGACCTGACCGGGTTTGAGCGTGCGCGGAGGGAATTGTCAGTCCTGGTAGAGACTGAAGCTTTAGCCTAGACTAGCCACACCTCAAACCCACCTGCACACGTGGGCGGCGTGAGCAGTGACATTTTAGTAGTTCGGGAAATACAGTTTGTTTTTCGGTAAGCAACCTTTAGAAGATGAAGTAATTCAGTTCGGCTTAAGGTCTATTGACCGGATTTCCCGTGGAAATGTAACGTGTTGTGGTGCTAACGGCACACCGTATTTTTGATAGAGGCCAGCAGTGTCTAGTGGTCTTAAGTTACCTTGATACCTGTCTGCCTCTTTACTGTTACTTCCTTAGCGATTTCACTTGTGACTGGGTGTCTGTTCTGAAATAAGGTCAGTCAGTGAGAACAAACATTGTCCCTGAATTTGTATCCTACATGATTTAGAATTTCTTTCCTTGGCTGTTTATGGGCCTTTTTGATGGGGAGCTTTTACAACAGCACTATTTTGGCGTTGTAGGAAGCCGAGGGAGCACAGACTTGTCCCCACAGGTGGGGAGGAAGTGGTCCTGGTTTGCCTGCTCAGCGTCAGTGAAGGTATTCAGTTGTGGGATGGTCAAGTGAAGAGGGACACGGCCAAACTCCATTACATTCCAAGAGAGGCCACTGAGTTAGGAAATCCTCTTACTTAGTGGAGCGAAGGGATGAAAGAACTGAAATCTTGTGGGGAGACCAGATTATTTTTCAGATGTCTGAAAGATGATCATGTGGGAAAGATCACCCTCATCTGTGATTTGAGAGTGGAGGCGGGGCCTGAAGTTTCCGGGAGGCTGATTTCAGCTAAATGTTCTAGTCTTCATATTTCTGTGATTGGCCTTTCAGAAAGGTTTTAACAGAGGCTAAGCACCTGTCTATTTGATTTCAGTAATATTAAGTAATTAACTTTCAGGAATAGGAAAAGTTGGAAAAGGTCACACATTTCAGGTAGGAGCCGTAGTCTGATTTGGCTTTGAGGTTTCACCCATTCCATTTCCTAGTAACTTATGCTTTTTTTTCCTCTTTAAATTAGATCATCTTTTTTTTCTTATCGCGTGATGATTGTGGGGTGATAGATTGTGGGATTTTATAGCTTTTTGGTTCATAAAGTGTCTCTATAAATTCATTTGCACTTGTCACATAGAAAAGACAGATATTATGAATTCTAGCAGAGAAAGAAATCTGCTTAATATTGTCCATCTGTGGACATATGTGGCCTTATTGCTCTATTAGAATTAAATTAAACTGTACTTGATCACTTTCTGTAGTTGTACCTCTTGACGACTCTTGGAGCATCCTGTAAGAAACCCCAAATCCCTTATGAAAACTTGATTTTACAACTTGTTCAACCAGCATGAATTAAATAGTTGCCAAGAGGCATTCTCTTCTGAGCTCATGAAGTCATTGATATACAATGTACTTATTTCCATATAACTAAGAAATGGTACTAAAAAGCATAGTGTTTTGTCTTATTGAAAGGAGAAGGTACAGACGTTGAAAAATGCCCCAAAATTGCGTTCTTCATAATTACATGATCTTGAAATAATCGAGAATTGATGCATCATACAAATGTATACATGCTTTGCTCAGTGGTTTGTATTTTTTAATTTCTTAGAAGGGTAAAAAAGAGAAGCCAAAGTCTAGTAAGACTGAAGAATCAACAGAAGTAAAGGAAGAAACTATGTCCCCCAAAGCCAAAAAAATTAAAAAGAAAGCCGAGTCTTCTGAGATTGACATGAATTCTCCTAAATCCAAAAAGGCAAAAAAGAAAGAGGAGCCATCTCAGGATGACATTATTTCTCCTAAAACCAAAAGTGTGAAGAAACCAAAGGAGTCCTTTGAAAAGAAAGTTGTTTCTCCTAAAACCAAAAAAGTAATGAAAAGTGAGGAGCCTTCTGAAGAAGAAATAGGTGCTCCTAAGCCGAAGAAGATGAAAAAAGAAAAGGAAATGAATGGAGACATTGGAGAGAAAAGCCCCAAACTGAAGAATGGATTCCCTCATTCTGGACCTGTCTCTAACTCCAGTGAAGAAAGTAACAGTGAATTAGAGCAGGTAAAGTTGCATTTTCATATGTAGAGCGTCTCTTTCATTGTGGTTTCAGATAAATAAGTAGGTAATTGCTACCTAGAGGCAACAGAAGCAGGAGAAAATTTGATGTGTTGACACTTTATGGGGGGTCCCTTGAGCTGCATGCTGCCTGCATTCAGGGTAAGACTTCATCTTAAAAATAGCTTAAAGTTAGAATGTTTCCTTTGCAAAGAAACAGGCCTATTTAAGTTTAGGGAATGTCTTCTCTCCACGTCTGCTTATTTGCAAGTCAGAAATTAAAAGGAGAGATTATAGTCATGCAGATAGTTATTCCCTCTGAGGGGTTTCACCAAAAAATCTTAATTAGTAGAGCTACTGAAAAGGATTTTGTTTGATTTTGCATAAGTTTTTGTTTGGCCATTAACTCAAGTTGAACCCGATGATTGGATGTCCACTTGGAAGTAGTTCTGTTACCTTTTAGAAACTCAGTCATCAAAGAAATCCTAATTCTAATAATTTTCTGTTTGCCATAGGTCATAATCAACATTTAAATTTTTTTTCCTTGGTTCATATCCAGGTGCCCCTCAAAATAAATAGGTAAATAAATAAATTTTTTTCCTGATTATAAATAAGTGATTTACAGAATTAGGAAAATATAGAAATTTGGGGCACCTGGATGGCATCTGACTTTGGCTCAGGTTCTGATCTTAATGGTTCGTAGGTTTGAGCCCCAGGTCAGACTCTGTGCTGACGGTTCAGAGCCTGGAGCCTGTTTCTGATTCTGTGTCTCCCTCTCCTGCTGCCCCTTCCCCACTTGCTGTCTCTCTCTCAAAATAATAAAAAACATAAAAACATTTTGTTTGCTAAAAACAAAAAGTTCCCTAGAATTTCAGCATTCATTAATTCAGTAAATATTAAATACTCATTAGGTATAGAGGTAACCTGTTGTTGAATGCTGTTTCTTTACAGTACTTTATATATATATATATATATAACTATTTTTTATCAGATTAGGATTGTACTATATGCAATCTTGTCTCCTGCCTTTCCACTTTTATTTAAACATTATATTCTATTTTTTTAATGTTTACTTTTTGAGAAAAAGAAAAGACAGAGCATGAGCGGGGGAGGGGCAGAGAGAGAGGGAGACACAGAATCCGAAGCAGGCTCGAGGCTCTGAGCTATCAGCACACAGCCTGATGGGGGCTTGAACCCGTGAACCGCGAGATCATGACCTTAGCCGAAGTCGGCGCTTAACCGACTGAGCCACCCAGGCACCCCTAAATAATAAATATTTTCATTGGTTCCATAATCCATTATATAAATGTTTAGAAAATCACTTAATTCCTGTATTGAGCATTTAAATTTTTTACTATCAAATAATGCCACAGTGACCACTTTGTCGTAAATGTTTGTTTCTTATTTTCTGTGAATATATGTGAAAGATGTGGCTATGCAAAAGGGTTAATGACCTGTTCAGCAGTATAGTAGTCCCCCCTCATCTGATGTTTTTCTTTCTGGGGTTTCAATTGCTCCCTGTCTACCACGTTCAAGGGTAAATGATTCTCCTCCTGACACATTGTCAGAAAGACAGTAGTAGCCTGATGCTGCATCACAATGCCTACGTCATTCACCTCACTTCATGTCATCACATAGGCATTTTATCAATCCTGTATCATCACAAGAAGTATGAGTGCAGTACAGGAAGATATTTAGAGAGAGACCACATTTGCATAATTTTTATCATGATCTATTGTTATAATTGTTCCAGTTTATTATTAGTTATTGTCATTAGTTTGTTACTGTGCCTAATTTATTTATTTATTTATTTATTTTTAATTTTTTTTTTTTCAACGTTTATTTATTTTTGGGACAGAGAGAGACAGAGCATGAACGGGGGAGGGGCAGAGAGAGAGGGAGACACAGAATCGGAAACAGGCTCCAGGCTCCGAGCCATCAGCCCAGAGCCCGACGCGGGGCTCGAACTCACGGACCGCGAGATCGTGACCTGGCTGAAGTCGGACGCTTAACCGACTGCGCCACCCAGGCGCCCCACTGTGCCTAATTTATAAGTTAAACTTTATCTTGGGTATGTGTGCATAGTAGAAAACAGTATTTAAGGTTCTGTACTATTCAGGTATCCACTAGGGGTCTCCCCTGTGGATAATGGAGGACTCCTATATATTGGTATGGGATGGCAACAGAATAGTTCTTAGTTGAGACTGAATCTGCCTTTACTAGCCACACATAGTATATCTACAGTATATATTTGCATTTTCCTTTTGTTAGTGTTTTATAGATGATTATGATTTCCTTTTTGGATCTTAATTTACCTACCAAAGTTTCTCTGTCTTTGTGGTTGATTTAGAAGAGATGTTTTCGAATAGGTTCTTTTGTTTCTTTCTCAGAAGGCGTCTCTGTGACTACCTGTGGGATTAAAGTTACTGATTTCTTTCTGTGGCCCTTTACTTGATAGGAAATACCTGTGGAACAAAAAGAAGGAGCTTTCTCTAATTTTCCCATATCTGAAGAGACCATTAAACTTCTCAAAGGTAATATTTTGGAACTATTGTATAATGTTACTGTATATTATTTGGAAGCACTCCACTATTTTTGTTGAGATGAAGGACAATATGTGGAACCACATAATAACTTAGATCTGTATATATAGTATAGGACCATACTGGTGATGGCTTTGCTGTCTCTTAAATAGGTGATTAAATTTTATTCAAACCAATGTGTATATTCAGAAGTGTGAGGACTGATTGTTCTGGTACAAATAAATGGTTCATGCCATTTATTTGTATGGTTCGTATTTTCTTTGTTATTCTCTCCCGCTTCGTGAGGCATCTCTTCATAATACCAACTTGACTCAGAACTCAGCCTAGCGGTGTGCCTCTGAACAAACTAGGTAGTCACATGTGTGGGTAGGTGTTTTCTGAATCAGGTGTGGCATAGTCTGGACTGCAAATCCAGATTTGGGGCTTCTGTTGACCTATGGATGAGATTACACGACAAGTAACTAAATTCTAAAAAAAAATGTTTGCTATAATTTGGTACTTTAATTTTTTTTTTTATTTTTTAGAGAGTGCAAGAGTAGGGAAGGGAGGCAGAGGGAGAGAGAGAGAGAGAGAGAGAGAGAGAGAGAGAGAGAGAGAGTGAGTCTCCAGCAGGCTCCATGCTAAGCACGGAGCCTGATGTGGGGCTCAATCCCAGGACACTGGGATCGTGACCTGAGCCAAAATCAAGTTGGACGCTCAACCAGCTGAGCCACCCAGGCACCCCTAGTTTGATACTTTAAAGTTTGTTGATATTTTTCAGTCAAGCAGATTCTTCACTACCAGAATACATTGGAGCCTGACTTTGTAGATATTGACAAGAAAGTAGAATTCTTTAATTCTCTAGGACCAGAAACATGGCTGGGATTTTAAGAACTGCAATGTCAGGTAACATGGTAAATTTGTTCACAGGCCGTGGGGTGACCTTTCTGTTTCCGATACAAGCAAAGACATTTCACCATGTCTATAGTGGAAAGGACTTAATTGCACAGGCACGGACAGGAACCGGGAAGACCTTCTCCTTTGCCATCCCTTTGATTGAGAAACTTCAGGGAGAACTACAAGACCGGAAAAGAGGCCGTGCCCCTCGGGTAACTATCTTTAACACAGACCTCAGGCGCTCCAACTCTGTAGTATAGTTTTTTACTGGGTTCTCCTTAAAGTGTTTTTTCCTTTTCCTTTCCTTTCCTTTTTTTTTTTTTTTTTTTTTTTTTTTTTTTTTTTTTTTGGTATCTTGAGATCTTTATTTGAAGCTAAAGCAGGATTATTCTCTTAAGATTTTTGGCCACAAACCTGTGTATTTAAATATTGTAATCTGCCCCATGGTTGTGACTGCCTGTATTATTAATGCTCTTTGTGTTCCCTTCAAACTATTAGATGCCCCTGCAGCTCACAGGTTTGATCAAGTGTCTGACCATTTTTGCCTAGATGGAGAAAGCAGTTTTAAGTAGAGATGCATGAGTAGAAGGAGGGGTACTCAAAGAGGTGAAGAAGCCAAGCTTCCTTGTCAGGCTGGTGCTCATCAGGTTCATTTCTGGAGAAACTGGCATTTGACAAACCTTAACCTCACTGAAATGCCAATGTGGTCATCATGGTTATGGGTTCTTGTGCTTGACTTTCTGGCCCTGCCCCATTTGTTTACTGGCCTTCCAGTGTCCATACTCACCCCTCATTAATTCATTGTTTATTGCTGTAAACAAATGCAGCATTAAACAAATGAATTATTCCCGCACTTGGAGTTATTCCAGCCTACACGTAGTGGATGTTCAGTAAATATCTGTTGGGTGAATGTATCTGATGAATTAGTGAACATTGTTCTTAAGTCACACTTGCTTCATGCTGTTACCCTACTTAAGGATCTGTAGTAGTTTCATGTTTTATGTCTTGTTGGGTCAAACTCCGACTGCTCTGGGATTCAAAGCCCCTCACCATGTTGGTCCTGCCTTAACTTGTCTTTGTTCTACTTTAAGTTTACTGTAATGTAGAGGTTCAGTCGACAGGTTTTGGAGCCCAGCTGTGTGTAGTAGAGCCTGAGACAGTAAAAGCTCAAAGATTAGCTAATGTTGTTGTCCTCAGTGGTGTTACTCCTTGCTCGAGTTGTTGCTTTTCCTGGAATGGTTTTTTTAAGTAGTAACAGCTCCACGAAACTCCCCACTTCCTCCAGCCTACTCTGGGCAGCCCTCCTGGAGCACCACATGTTTGGGCATCTACTTCTCTTCTGATTGGTAGGATCACAAACTTTTCTTCTGAGTAGATTTGTCAGGGACTGTATTACATTTATGATCCTTCCCCACACGAAACTATGTTGCAAAGCACATAATAGATGTTTTGAAAATACTTGGTAGGATGAGTTGAACCTTCTGATGAATTTCACATTTGTTAAGAAACAAGTACTTCACGATACTTTGAATTCAATGATTAGTTTTTCCTTTTCAGGTACTGGTTCTTGCACCCACAAGGGAGTTGGCCAATCAAGTAAGCAGAGACTTCAGTGACATCACAAGAAAGCTGGCAGTGGCTTGTTTTTATGGTGGAACTCCCTATGGAGGTCAAAGTAAGTAAATCGAAAAGTGAGGGAAGGAAAATGTCAACCATTGTTGGGTGCCCTGGTAGGCTTTCTCTGATCTTGACATCTGTCTTTACCTGGTTTAGTCATTTATAGTAGTTTTCTTTTGTCATCATTCTTTTTAAAAAAGTTTTTTTTAATGTTTGTTTGTTTTTGAGACAGAGAGAGACAGAGTGTGAGTAGGGGAGGGGCAGAGAGAGAGGCAGATACAGCACCAGGCTCCAGGCTCTGAGCTGTCAGCATAGAGCCCAATGCGGGACTCGAACTCACCAGCCATGAGATCATGACCTGAGCTGAAGTCGGACACTCAACCAACACCACCCAGGCGCCCCTCTTTCGTCATTACTGTTTAAAGATGATCAAGAACATCGTCCTGCATAATGATGCGTAAAATCCTGTATATAGTTCTTTGGAGTTTTATGTTATTTGCCTATGTTTATCTAAAGGAGGCTACAAAGGTATCTTACTGAACCCAAGAGGATAGAGTCCAGGGGGCTCTTAGAACTAGAAGGTCATGATTTAGAGTTACTCTTTTTATCTGTCAAAGAGGATGGATCTGGCTGTTTTGGGGTCTTTGTTTCTTTCTTGCTGTAGGCGGGCCTTCGTCTGAGCCCAGGGGCCAAATGTTACAGGCCCCTATTGTAGGATTCCATTACTTACCAGTTCAAGACCTGGAAGCTTTATTAGGTAGAGCAGATAATATAATTCAGGAAGGGATTTAAGGCATTAAAAATGTTAGTATTGGCATGCAATGCTCTTTCCAGCTTTGATTGAGCGAACTAGGCTTTGGCATCAGAAAAGTGTACGTTTGAATTTAGACTCTGCTCACAGTGTGATTTGAAGTTCAGGGTGCTTGATTTTTCGTTTGCTTGTGTGAAAAAATAAGTTTAGTGAATTCACCCTGCAGGGGTGTTATGAGGATTGAATTGGAGAATGTAGAGTGCCTGGTGAGACCCCTAGACTGCAAGAGCAGTTGAATAAAAAATTGTATTATTAACCACCTCACCTCATTATACTGAATTCCATTTTCTTGAACATCTCTGTGCCTTCTGGGAATACTTACCCTTCTACCCTGTCTCATTCTGTCTATACCTGATTACCCTACTGTGTATACAGTTCTTTCTTTCTTCCTTTTTTTT